GAGGTCAGGTGACGAGTAGTCACTAGGGCCGTGTTCCAAAATTTACTCGATCCTACTCCACGGTAATGGTTTTGTACCTTCGCGTTCTAAAACCTACTCGCGTCTAGCGTTTTTCAATCTGTGCTGTCACGTGATGCGATCCGCCGGAGTAACTCGGATCCATTTGGGTAAGATTTGGAACACAACCTAGGTTACTATGGGCACGGTGCCAGGTCGGCTCGTTGCTATGGTACCGCGTGTGACCAATCGCGGTGAGGGGCGGCACAGGGAAAAGCGGTGCGCTACACATAGAGTGGCTCTAGCGTACACTAGAGCCACTCGATATGGCAGCGTAGCGGCCAGTGTAGCGCCACGCTTTTCCCTGTGCCGCCTCTCACCGCGATTGGTCACACGCGGTACCATAGCAACGAGCCGAGCTGGCTCGGTTTCCGTAACAACCAAGTGACGACCCGTCACGTGACCTCTCAAGAGCCGTGATGTCATCGGTAAGATGGCAGCGCCCAGAGCTGGTGGATGCGAGTTTGTTCTGTGCCCTTAGTCGTGCACGATGTGCCGCAGCTTGCCGACGATTTAGGGCTTCTTCGTGCCTTCTGACGTAGGTATAACGTGAAGATCTGAAAGAATGGTACTTTATACCCTTTCTGTGCAAGATCGCTCTGGATATTAGCACCTGTGCGACAGCATCATTAATATCGCCTTAGCGGTGCTCGAGTTTATGGATGTGTTTGAGGATCGATAAGACATTTAGCATGCAATTTTCGCATTCTCTTAGCTTTATTTGAACGTTGGAGTGTCTGAGAATTGATGCAAAATCTATGCGTCGTATGTTGGGCATTGGGGAACTTGTTTCAGCCCCAGGTAACCGCAAAATCACAAACTTTTAGCGAGGAAGCTCCTGCAATGTTTACCTTTTGTAGTAATCAACCAGGGAACCTGAATTCAATCCCCACCCCTGCCCGTTTTGAACTCGATGAGCATCGTACCGGCCTGCGGTTATGTATCAGTACTGCGTGGTACACGTTAAAGACCTATAGAGCTAGCGGTTATACTGCATTGGCTAAATTGCTCATCAACATTGAGTGACTCGTCGCAACTTTGAAATGGCTGACCAAGTATACGCTGTATAATATTCACACAACTCCCAAGTATACTAATAAACGATTTTACGATATGCGCAGCGCAAGTCCGTCTGCTTCTTTTAGTAGGGATTGTGGTGACGTCAGAATGCCGAGCTCTGATTGATTCTGAAAAAAAGAATAGTGGGTAGACCTCAAGGCAGCTTGCTTTTAGGTCTACCCACGCTCGGAGCCACTCAGATCTCGGCGTTCTGACGTCACCACAACCACTGCAAGAAGAAGCAGATGAACTTGTGCTCCCATGGCTTTTAGGATAAAACTTTCGCATTTCTCTAGCTTCCTTTGGGAGACTGAATTTCTGAGAATCATAACGAAAGGTATACGGCGCGTGTAAGGCCTATGGGAAATTGTTTCAGCCCTGGGTCACCGAATTATCACAGCATTTTTTTAGCGAGGAAGCTCCTGCGTTCTTTAACCTTTTTTACTAATCGACAATTTTACGAATTGGCAGTTCTAAAGATTTCGATATAACTTGCTTTCGTTGCCATAGCTTGCATTTGATCGCAGTATTTTTTTGTTTGTATTTCAAGTGAAAAGCTGGCGTTTGCTCAAGTCACGTATATGAAGTGTCCTGCTATATGACAATGCATCAACACATACTATTAAACTTAGATGCTCAGAGGTGTGTTCGTCTTTGTAATTAACAAGTTACAGACATATTTATTTCTTACGAGTGTAATATTTATTTTCTGTAGCTGGGCCCGTTTTGTGCTCCGTAATGTCAGTGTGCTATGACGTTATCGTCATGTGTGTATGGTTCTAAATATCCTCTTTACAATGCCTACAAAGGCCAAAATGCGTATTCCTTAGAGACCACCATGCCGTCCTTCTTGGTTAAACCCCGTCGACGTCGCTCCTCCCCAGTCGGTAAGAAAATCTCATCTTGAAGGGATGATCGGGTCTTGAAGAAGTATGATGCTAAACATATATACTCGCTCACTATAGGGCAGTCGAGCAGCAGTAATGTTCCGAGCCAATCGTCCGGTCGCGGCCGGCGCAATCGGATTTTGTTCCATCGCAGCGAAGTCCGAAAGTACTAGGACGGTACGTTCGTCCCACAAAGCGGCCGCCATCCCGGCGGCGTCGGAAACCACTCGACTTGTCCGTGCACGTACGATACCATAGCAGCTCTCGTCGCCCGACAGTTCCTGGGCTGCAAATCGTCTCACTTTTCAGAAAAAACAGGCACCGTTCCTCCAGAGGTTCTTGCCGTACCGCGATGCCAAGCGTCTTGTACCACTTTTCAATGAACGAATGGAGATATCAACTAGACTACAAAGGTTGCCGCCCGGCGTCGCTAGAAGCACGGTTACCATGGCAACCTCCCAGGCCCAAAATGGAGATCACTATCATCGCTTCTGACGTAGTGCATCTAGATAATTTTGCGTCGTGTCGCTACTCTGGCAGCTACGCTGCCAGAGTAGCTGCCAGAGTAGCTCTAGCGTACACCAGTTCAGAGCACGTGGAGCGAAAGCTCGCGCTGCAGAATTCCGGGATCCTGGGTAGGGTGTACTAGAACTAGTACAGCTAGTCTAGTACACCCTACTTTTATTTCAATACATCATTCTAATATTTACGAATCCTCAGCTCAGTGTGCGATCTCTTCAGCCAAGCACGTGCATGTTCGTCGTTTCGGAAAGAAAGCAAATCAAGCATGATACACACGGACACAGAAAATAGAACCGGCCAGAAGCCCTTTTTTGTTTTATACAGGTCTATAGACCTTTCCGAAAATATGTGGCACCCCTAGCGTCTGCTTTACACATTATGACCTTCAGATGTAGGCCTGTGAAATTATCGAAGAAGCGAAGACGAAGTTGACGTTGACGTTGGTTTAACAGTTCGTGTACAGTGGTAGTCCGTGATTTGAGAACAAAGAGGAGGCCAAAGGAAAGGAAAAGCGAGTGCGAGGTAACTTTCTTTTTCGTTTGCTAATTTTCTTTTGTGTGTTCTTGTCGCTAAACTCGTCAAGCACAATGTTGGGGCCGAAGTTCGCAGAGCGTGCTGATTGGACTGTCGCGACGATGACGTCTCGCGGTACAAGATTGCAATCATCCAAAAACATCGGTGCTCAAATTCAACCGAGATTGCGAAACACAAAGTCGTAGCGAGCTTCATCGGAGCGCACGCAAGCAACACCGTGGAACCAGCCGATTGAACGGCTGCACTGATGTTCGACGTCGCGCCCGCGTGTCCTTACATCCCTACGCCGTGTAAGAGTCAATGCTGTCTCCAATGTCCTTAGGCGGGTAGTTACTACTCTTAACTTTATCGTCGCAAAATCGTCGTTTGTGGAAGTTATCGGTGACTTCGGGAAGGAGTTATTTCAGGCCAAAATATTCGCTTCGGCATCGAGGCGAAGATTGAACTTTGTGACATTTTGGAGCCGTGCGCGTAGTACGCGACTTCAGAGCTCATCTTCCGCCACAGTCATCTATAGCTGCCTGGGTCACTGAGAGGTGGTGTGGGAAGTGACCTAGGTAATGTTTGAGAGATTAGAGGGCGACAAGAGACGGCGAGAAAAAAACGGGGAAATGGAAATAGAAAGGGCTACGACGAACCAACACACACATAAAATTATGGGTAAGACAGCGCCGTACGAAATGTCCGAGAGTGTCTGAGAGAGAGAGAGGGGGGAAGGGTGATCGTAGGGAAGAAGGGAGGTTTCCTCCCCGAATGTTTTATTATATATTTCTAAAATGTCTGGGTTCCATTTAGGACGTTATGGTTTGCGTCTGGGGCGATAGCCTCCCCACTTACCCCTATCTGCCCCTTGCCCCCTCTTTTCACACCACTGGGGGGGGGGGGGGGAGAGGGAGGGGGAATCACCTTTTCTTTATTTTTCTGTTTCGACGCCTCTGCTTGGAGGCGTTTGTAGTGTGCCATCAACTAGCTAGATGGCGCAAGAAGTCATGGTTTGTGTCGTTACTACGAGATGGTGCACGTGCTTGACAGCGGCGCGCGCTGTCTCGGGATTGATGTGTACATATTGAAAATAGAACAGTCTTCACAAAAACTCCGAGCTGGTGTGACGTCTCTTCCTTTCGTCGGGGTTCCCGCCTTGGGCCCCGCACCTCGGCACCCCGCTGCCCACGCGCCGGCAATGTAAGCCTTTCCAGCATCTCTACAGGCCTTTCGGGGCGCTGTCTTTATCTTAGCTTTCCCTGTCTCTTTCCACCCATTCGTAATGGCCCCAAGCGACCACAACATCTTGGCGACGAGCTATAACCACTACATTTTGGCGACGAGGTATTTTCTTGCATTTTTTCCATTTTCGCCCTCGTGAGTTTTTTTATGTGAGACTCCGTGCCGGAGATGAGTGGTGGCAGCACCGGCACGTATAGTTTTCTTTTGTGTGTTAGGAAAGTTTCGAAATGTAAGGAGGTCCTTTTGAATATCCCCATCCACCACATCTTTTGCATATGTAGTACATGAAAATACTGTCGATGCATAGCGACATTTAACGTTCCGTTTCGAGCGGCAATGGTCCATTCCGAACGCCAGTAGGGTTAGGCGTAACGCCATCCTTTGTTCTTTTTTTCGAACGCCGTAGCGGCCGTTCGAATGGTTCTTTTTCTTTCATGTAAGTAGTGCGCACCGCACGGAAGCGTCGTTCTTAATTTTCCGAGACTCGGAGAAACTGTCTCGTTTCCATTTCGGTGGAATTTTTTCGGATTTTCACCTTCGTTTTCAACTTTTGTCTCCCAACCATAGCCATAGTAGACGATAGCGTCGCTATGTTTCATGTTTATGTAGTACATCCCAAGTGACTTTAAAAGGCGAAGTGAATAGATATAATAGATATTTTGTCCATCAAATATGCGTATGTAGCCATTGGCTTCACTCATTCATAAGTTCCAAAAAATGGCAACAGCTTCTTTCCCGACACCTCCACCATTTCTTCCCACGCCAGGTGCCCCTGTGCAGCCTTGGTTAAATTGGAAAGCGTCGTTTTTAAATTATCTTGTAGTCCTAGAGGCTGATGAAAGCTCGCCGAAGCGTAAGCGCGCGTTGTTGTGGTCCTTGCTTGGTCTCGAAGGCCAAAGAATAGTTTCAACGTTTCCATCCACGGCCCTCGCACATAGCGAGACCGTTTCCGAATTTGACGTTCTTATGACGGCGCTTGATCAGCATTTCGCTGCCAAAAAGAATGTTGTTGTCGAACGGAGGTTATTCCTCACCCGCGTCCAGTCGCAGGGAGAAAGTGTCCTTGAGTACCTTGGTGCCCTACGGCACCTCGGCTCTTTTTGTGATTTTGGGGAGTCTCTTGAAACCCGCATCGCGGAAGTTTTTTTGGCTGGATTATTATCATCGGAGGTACAAGATCGGGTAATCCGAGAGTCTGCGGAAGCTGGACTACCCAGCCTCGAACGTATCGTGCTTCTGGCACAACAGTTCGAACGGGCTGCTCGAGATTGCGATCGTTACCGCCAAATTTCGTCATGTCTTCCGCGTTCCGAGTCGGCACAGGCCGTTGAGGCAGTACAAAGGGTTCCCGTTCGGCGTGGACAAGATGGCCGCCAGTTGAGGTCAAATTCGAACATGCAACGTCAAAATGGAGGGCGGCCTCCTGCCGTTTCCTCCTCACCTTCCAAGGTTTCCTTCTCGCCGCGCCACCAGTCGCGTGGACTCACCCGTGTTTTTACAAGCCGATTGCCTCGGGATGCTCCTCCGGGCGCGCGCGCTCTTGAGCGCGGGGCGGAATCGTGCCACTTTTGCGGTCGCCGACCCCATCCGCGTGAGGAGTGTCCAGCGTCCGGAATGGCTTGTTTTTCTTGTGGCAAGATAGGCCACTTTTCAAATGTTTGCCGAAGTTCGTCTTCGTCGTCTGAAGTCATCGACCCCCGTCGCCTGGCGTTTCCGCCGGGACGAGGCCGCGCCGCCGGTCGCCGGTACGAGAGGCTTGGACCTGGCCGTAACCAGACGCCGATCCATGGAGTCGTGACGTTTCCCGACGACGACGAGGGGGAACCACATCCAAACAACGTCTTCACCGTCGGATCCCCGGAGGTCCTCCCTGAAGGACATGCGGACCGTCGCCCACGGAATTTCACCGCTGATGTTCAGGTGAATGGATTTACATTACCCTTACTCATTGATACTGGCTCCGAAGTGTCAATACTTTCCGAGAGCATGTTTAACAAGATCAACTTCAAGCAGCAAATCCGGCTAAGGAAACCGCCGCGCACTCTTGTGCACTACCTCCGAGGGTCGATTCCAGTCATGGGATGTTTCCAGACCAAAGTCAGCTTCAAAGAACGCTCCGCCGACATTCTTTTTTACATCGTTCGCAATGGCCGATCCCTGCTTGGGACAGATGCCGCGCATGGACTGCGTCTAATTTTATCGGGCGCGCCACTCAAGTGCTTCCATGTCAATGCAGCTGATCCTCGCTCGGTCATCCCGGGACATGTAAAGTCGGCTGGAGTCCCGCAGCCCCCATGTACGGTGGAGCCCAGTCCTCCACCGCGTCCTTCAAGTGCTCCCTGCAAGCACCCTTCATCATTGTCCTCTGTTCACGGCACTCAGCCATCCACATCGTCTGAATACTACTCCAGTAGAGGCGTCTTCGGAGACCAGCCTTCAAGGGATCCGTCGACGTCGGGACCATCTTTGCAACCTTCATCGGTGAGCGATGCATCTAAGTTACCTTCTGGTTTTGAAGAATTTGAGGATCTCTTTTCTCCTGAGTTAGGGTTAGTTAAAAACCAAACTCACACAATCACTGTCCGGCACCATGTCCCGCCGGTACAGGCTAAACTTCGCCGCTTACCCATCACGTTGCGTGATGCCGTCAGTGCGGAAATTCAGAAGCTCGAGCGCCAAGGCGTTATCGAGCGCGTAAACGCGTCGGAATGGGTGTCCCCCATTGTAGTAGTTAAGAAGAAAGACGGTGGAATCCGTATGTGTGTCGATCTGCGGGCGCCAAATCAGGCAGTCGTCATTGATTCTTTTCCGCTTCCGCACATCGAGGAGCTTCTGAACTCCCTCAGTGGAGCTTCCCATTTTTCTAAGTTAGACCTTGCGTCTGCTTATCATCAGGTCCGTCTCGACCCCAAGAGTCACGACATAACAGCATTCATTACCCATGAAGGGCTTTTTCGTTTCAAACGAGTTTGTTTCGGGCTGGCGTCTGCACCAGCGGCCTTCCAACAGGTCATGTCCAAGATATTAAAACATTGTCCAGGAGTCCAGTTTTATCTGGACGACATCATTGTCTATGGCTCCTCCCAGAAGGAACATGATAATAATCTCAGACAAGTCCTCAAATGTATTAGAGAGGCCGGCATGAAATTAAATAGAAAAGCCGTTTTCAATGTTTCTGAACTGTCATTCCTTGGTCATCGTCTGTCTGCGGAGGGTCTAGCACCCCTTCCGTCGAAGATAGACGCGGTCCTAAATTTTCCAGTTCCATCGGAACCTTCGCAGTTGAAGGCCTTCCTAGGTCTAGTAGAATACTACAGTAAGTTTGTCCCCCATTGTGCTACTCTGGTAGAACCCCTCCGAAGGCTTCTGCGTAAGGGCGCATCTTTTGTCTGGTCGACCGACGTAGAGGCCAGTTTTCAAAGTGTCAAGTCCTGCCTTCAGCAGGCTCCCATTCTTGCAATGTTCAATCCAAATCTTCCAGTTGTCGTCTCCACAGACGCGTCCAATTACGGACTAGGTGCTGTTCTTCAGCAGCAGCATGGGAAGCAACTAAAGACTGTTGCTTTCGCTTCCCGCTCTCTCTCTGAAGCAGAGCGGAAGTACTCAGCAGGAGAGAAAGAAGCTCTCGCAATCCTTTGGGCTTGCGAGAGATGGCACGTTTATCTTTGGGGTCGACATTTCGAAATTCAGACAGATCATCAAGCCCTTGTCACACTAATGTCCACTCAAGGGACAGGTGTTCGTCCACGACGCATCAGTCGTTGGACTGCTAGACTTTTCAACTATAATTTCACAATGAAGTATTGTAAAGGCAGCGACAACGTAGTTGCCGACGCTCTGTCTCGCCTTCCGGTCCCAGATACCGAAGAAGGTACGTCTTTTGAAGAAGAGGTTGTTTCAATTGTCTGTGCATGCCTCACACAGAAGGAGTTCAAGGAAGAAACTGTAAAGGATCCTGTATTACCAGTTATTATGACATACCTTTCAAACACATGGCCCTCAGAGGAAAAGTTGCCTCCAGAATTCAAGCCGTATTTCGTTGTAAGAGACCAGCTCTCAGTCATCGATGCCTTGTTGTTCCAAGGAGAGAAAATAGTGGTTCCGTCCACTCTCCGCGATCAAGTGATTGATGTAGCTCACGAAACCCATCAAGGTATCTCGCGCACCACCAGTATCATCAAGGAGCTTTACTGGTGGCCGCATTTAAGTCAACATGTCAGGACGAAAGTGCAGAACTGTTCGGTATGTCAGTCGACAGACAAGCCTGCAAAGGCATCTCCTGCACCTCTTCAACCAGTTGAATTCCCCAACCGTCCATGGGTAAAACTGGGCATGGATATAGTCGGTCCCTTTGAACGAGCCCCAGCTCAAGAGAGGTTTTTCATTACACTTGTAGATTACCACAGTAAGTGTGGCCTGAAGTGGCACCAGCCCACAATGTCACGACTGCTACAGTCATTAAGTTTTTGAAGTCTGTCTTTGCCCGCGAGGGTTTGCCGCAAGAGATCACGACAGACAATGGTCCACAATTTATTTCAAAGGAGTTCAGCGATTTCTTGAAGATGCATGGCATCAAACATGTGAAGTCATCCCTTTACCATCCCCAAGCTAATGGACAGGTAGAGAGATTCCATAGAGTCCTTAAGTCTGTTATTCAGTTGGCTCTCGTCCAACATCGTCCGCTTTCCGAAGCCATTACAGAATATCTCGGGGTATACAGGAGTACGCGCCATGCCGCGACTGGAGAAACGCCAGCTTTTCTTTTACACGGTCGCACCCACCGGACGCGACTGCATCTTCAAGGGCGAGGGACCCCACAGTCCGCCGTCCCTCCGCAGGTCGTACAGGAAGAGCTTCCTGATAGAGTCAAGGCATATCAAACGAAGATGAAACAGTATTCCGATGCCAGGCGAGCAGTCAAGCACCCTGTTTTCGCTCCTGGGCAAGCAGTAAAGGTTTTCAAACCTAACATTAGAGGGAAAATGCGCAACAAATATGCCCCACCGCAACATATACATGAACAAGTTGGGCCAGCCACATATAAATTAGATGATGGAACCATATGGAATGCAGACAAAATGACACATACATCATTGAAACCACCCCAACGTCAGCCGTGGTGGCTTATGGATGATGACATATTACCTACTTCAACTAATGCGGCTCCAGCTATAAGCCTGGGCCATGTGCCACCTGAGGGTCCGGCACCTGCAACTTTGCGTGCTGCGGCCCCCAGCGTCACTCCTGTCCGTGCGGCCCCTGTTGCCGTTCCTGTTTTTGCGGCCCCTGTTGCCGTTCCTGTTTTTGCGGCCCCTGCTGCCGTTCCTGTTTTTGCGGCCCCTGCTGCCGTTCCTGCTTTTGCGGCCCCTGCTGCCGTTCCTGTCCATGCGGCCCCTGCTGCTGTTCCTGCCCCTGCGGCCGGTCCTGTTTTTGCGGCCCCTGATGCCGGTCCTGTTCCGACGGCCCAAGAGGTCGTCCAAGCCACTGCGGCCCCTGTGGCCGCCCATGCTACTGCGGCACCCGGCCCTGGCCATATTGCTGTGGTGCCTGGTGCCTATAGTCAAGCGACCCCTGGCGCTGCCCATGACCCTGCTGTGCCAGGCGTCGTTCCTCATCATACGGCTCCTGCAGCCCATGTAGCTGTGGTCCCTGGTGCTGCCCATGTACCGGTAGTACCCGGTGCCCTTCCTGTCCCTGGTGTACCCGGCACCAGTTCCGTGGTACCCTGTACCGTGCAAGATGCGGTGGTTTTCGGTGGCCTTCCCGCCACCGCAGTCCCCGGTGCCGTTCCTGATTCCGGTCTCCAAGCGGCCTTCCGCGCTGCTGTACCAGTCCAAGCCAGCAGCCAGCCACCAGTCCCGCCGGCTGCCCCGGCTGCACTCTTCCAAGAGGCCTCCAGGCTCGCTTTCCAAGAGGGTCCTGAACCTTCCGTTCCTACAAGCGGTGCGATATTGAGCACCGCATCAAGTTCATCTCAACTGGGACTTGGGTATTGGAGCGAGCTGCCGTCATCTAGCTCCGCAACGGTCTCAGCGGAGTCCCTGCACTCCGTTGGGCCAAAGACCTCCATGCTTTCCGAGCCTTCAGTGGCTCCTGGTTTAGCAGAAGACCTGGAATCAAGTCCTCAGGCAACCCAAGAATCGACTTCTACATCAGGTGACGGTGGTGCAGACACACCACCAAGGACATATCATACTCCACCACAATCCCCATCGGACACTCCACCACAACGCCCCACGCGGCGTAGACGACTTCCCGCAAAATTTCGTGACTTTCAAGTGGATATGTACTCCAAAGACGCTCCTTAAAAACTCTGGGACTTAAGTCATAGTGGTTTGCAATTTCATAGTGTGCACTGTATTTTTATGGGATAGATGTGAACAGATCGTTATTTTTGCATTTTTCACATGTCTTCAAATGTCAAATTTCCATGTTATGCACATGGAAGTTTGGACGAACTGCCTTATGTATATTTTTTTCATACGTTGTGTAGTTACCATCGAGTAAGTTATCATAGTGTAGTTCTTTTTTTTGTGTGATGTATGAGTTGCCATAAGAGCACTCGTAAAAGGCACATCTTACTTCTTGTGTTTAGCAGGACTTGCTTCACTGAATTCTTCCAAGGAAGAAAAGACGTTATTTCTCAATTTTTCAGAAATTGTCCAGGTGAATTCACTTGTGAAAGTGAGTGTTATTTTCATGTTTCTAAAGGACTAGTCATTCATTTCACTTGCTGAGGTGAAGGTGTTATTCTTGTTTCGAAGGACTCGTCTTATAGCGAGATTACTTGAGTGTTCTTTGTTTCAAAAGGTTTCCAGTGACATTTTCACTTCCAGTGGAGATGTAGCATTCATGATCGTATCTTTGAAAATGTATTTCTTTACCCTTTTTTTCCCCGACCACTTCACAATTATTTTCCTTGTAGTGATTGGTCGGTAGGGCTCAGTGTGCGTGTGATTTTCCATATCGTAAAGAGTAAGCTGTTCTTTTCGGTCTAGTACCAAGTTATCCAACAGTCATTTTGTCTAAGGGGGGAAAAGATGTAGTGTGCCATCAACTAGCTAGATGGCGCAAGAAGTCATGGTTTGTGTCGTTACTACGAGATGGTGCACGTGCTTGACAGCGGCGCGCGCTGTCTCGGGATTGATGTGTACATATTGAAAATAGAACAGTCTTCACAAAAACTCCGAGCTGGTGTGACGTCTCTTCCTTTCGTCGGGGTTCCCGCCTTGGGCCCCGCACCTCGGCACCCCGCTGCCCACGCGCCGGCAATGTAAGCCTTTCCAGCATCTCTACAGGCCTTTCGGGGCGCTGTCTTTATCTTAGCTTTCCCTGTCTCTTTCCACCCATTCGTAATGGCCCCAAGCGACCACAACATCTTGGCGACGAGCTATAACCACTACAGCGTTCTAACTGAGCGACGACGAGAAACACAACAGCGTGCATTTTTTAAAATAATGGTTCTAGAGGTTCTGGAATTAAAACAGGTCGCGTTCATAATTTCATGAGCGGCCATGAGAGACTTCCAAGCGAGAGGCTTGTGCCAGGGCTCGTAGTGTCTAGGCACGTTCAGTGACATCCTATTATAGTTCCTACCCTTGACGTCAGGGTCAGGATTATCAGTTTTGAACGACATTTTTTTATGGTACGTCTTTGAATCGGCGGTGACAACTTTGATTGTTTACGAGGGAAGCTTGGAGTCATCGCGTTAATAAAACATCACCGTCAATATTAACAACATTTTATTACTCTTATTTCCGTTGATGAAAGCAAAATTAATTCCAGTTTGGCCAATCTTGGAAAGACGACCACACCGACGCTTTTGGTATCCTTCGTGGACCCCAATAGTC